AAAGTTATGCTTTGAACTTGATTTATGCTGCTTAACAACTTGTTTTGTATCTGAACAATTGCAGGTCAATAAAGAAGTGATTTATAGGTACTATGGCATAAGCTGAGTTCATAACGTATATTCATGACTGAACCGTGGAGCAGGTTCCGCAAGTATTCAGTAGTGCAGCAAATAGAGAATATTTTACCAAACGGAATTGTTTGGATTCGATATGTTTCATTTTTACTGACCTGACAAGACTGTAAGATTCTACAATTCGTTTTGAATGAAAGAATTGTGCGTGAAATGATCTTTCGCGCCGAAGTTCAATAAAAATATCCCAATTAATACAATTACTTTAATTAAATGAAGAATGAATACTTAAATTAAAAACTTAATATACTTAAATAATACTTAAATTAAATATACTTAAATTAAATACTTATTGAATACTTAAATTAAAATTGTATAAATTTAAATAGAGCATAGGTTTAGTGTATATATAGCTTCATAGGACAACATTGTTCCTTCATTCAGATGCTTAGAGCTCAGCATAAAACATAGTTCCAGTACACCGTACGCATAGTTTCCAATGGTCACAAACACAGTATTCCCAAACACTGGGTTCTAAGTATCAGAACCCAGTCTGATATCTTCGAAATCGAACGAACAACGCCTTCAAGACGGAACGGTTTCTTGTGGACTTCTATTCTGGTATACTTCTCCCTCTGCAGTTGTCTGATTTCGCAAACCAGTCCTTGCTTTTATCCCAAACAAGTCTGCCCTCAATTCGTACGCTGCAACGGGATCGTCAACGCCATAACTTAATTCTACCATCTGCATATTGGTTATTCTTGTTCTTATTCTCAATTGATTTTCCGAAGTACTCCTGAATAATCAGCTAAGATCCCTACAGTGCGCAAATAAAGATAATATGCTCAATTTCAAGCTTGCTGACATCATCATGTCCTTGAAGTAGTTTTATATGAGCGAAATCGCAAGAAACCATCAAAGGCTTGGTTTAATGCTCGCTAACAACACTGAAAGAGCATTTTTTCGTTTTAAAATTGATCATTAAGTACTATTGAAATCAAATAACGAGCGGCACTTCCACAGAAGGAGACGCAGTCATGTCAATGGGAACGCTCACTGCCGGACGGATGTCACAGATCCATTTTAGTTCGAGACGATCGTGGCGGTTTGTGCTTGAGGTGCAAAAGGAAATCTGTTTGCTGCAAATAAATGGACAACAGCCCAAGTTATTATTGAATTTGCTCAATAGTTTCATTCTAATCGCTGTACAAATTTGTTATTTTTTTCGGCCTAATATAGGATTACTAAATATTAGGGCAAATGCATTTGAGCATTGACAGTAAAATTTTTAAATCTTTTTCCATGCTTCAATTGCTGGTATTGCACACAATAATGCCTTAATTTCTGTCATTTTTCTGATGGTCAATCGTCATGTCATGAGTTTCACGACTGTTTGACATGTTCGCAGAAACTATTCACCAAGATTCCTGAAAATAACTGCTTTTTCCACATATTTACCGGCATTTGAGATTTATGCAACTCGCTATAACCGTTCATCTAATTCATTCATCGTTCATTACACTGCTCTCCTTCCGCCGCTTATGGCGCGACATACTCGGAGTTGAGATTGTTGGATTGTAGTACTATTGACTGATTTACAAGTACAAAGTAACAAAAGAAAAAGTGTTTAACAATATGGCAGTTTACTATATGGTTAGGTAACTTACACACGTCCGTCGTCAACCGCAGCTCCGCCAATGGCTTTACCAGGTGAGCACTCAACGCAGCTCGAGGGCAGGTTCGACTCACGGCCTAGATACGGACGGCTTGAAGTGTTGAAGGCTACGTTCCGGAAGGCAGGAATCATGATGGTCCATTACATCCAGAGCAGTTGTGGTCTTCGGCAGGCGACCCCAACAGAATAGCTTAGTGATCGTCGTAATAAGCCTTGCGTGAGACGCTTCATCCGCGGATATAGCGAACATTCGCCGAATTGCCGCTTCAATTTTTAACGAGTTGCATGATGCCTATGGTGGAAACAAAAATTTTCAGCATTCGTTCGCCTACAATATAGATAAATGGAATATTAGTACACAATAAAGTCATGCAATTATTGTGCGGTTTACTATTTTTCAAGTACTAAGGAGACAATTCCGACTACTACTCAATAGGTTTTTACTCTACATGGTGATTCACGGAAACTTCTTGTTTTGTATTTCGCGCCAAACGGCCAGATGTTATATTTCGTATGAAAGGCAAGATCATGAAGTTTTGTCCTGACTAGTCAGATGCCATTATTCACTGGACAAGTGAGCAACGTATGTTTGCTATCGAGGCGTACTTTTGTGATGGCCGTTTGCAGAGTTGTATGAGACAACATTTTGCAGAGCGCCTCATCTGCCAGAGAGGTGATCTTCTCTGACCGGCCCGATCTCCCGATTTGGTTCGGTGTAAATTTTCCATGGGGTTATCATAAGTAAATTGTTTACAATGACTGTCCAAGAATCCTAGCTCATTTGAAGAGCAAAATACGCCAATTAAGTCACGGCCAACATACCAGTCAATATGCTCCAGCGAGTTGACGGGACTCGGCTTTTTATTTAGTTTTATTAAGGTCGAATTTCATTACACGACGTGGATTACGCAGCCATTGTAGGGTTAAAAAGGATATTGAAGGCGCCTTGAAGCTCAGTTTCGGTTCGGAAGTCTTGTCCTCTCGGCCCCTTTTTTTAGTTTAAGGAATAAATCGTTCTGTGCCAGTTTGGCTGCACGCGTGATGATTAAAAATTTTATAGTTAAGTTTATCAATATTACGATTCATTACTTCAGCACTGTGATGACGAGCATTATCATGGATGCACGGCGCACACGTCTCGAGGCATTAGCATACTTCACCTTGGAATGGCTCCTCAGCTGCTGCAAACGTGGCAGTTTCTCATACAGTACCCTTTAGCAAGTGGTCTGCTACTGTGGTTACTCTGAAGTTGAGAGAATTGATCAGGTAATCATGAACTACCGACATCATGAACATCAACTCACCCATCTTTAAATTTTCTACAACATTCAGGCACCACACCGTCACTCATAATTAGCATTCGCCGTATACTCAGCCCAGTACGGTATTCGATGAATTTCTGCTGCACCATAATAACACAAACCTTATCACACGTTACGGTCTCAGTCTTAAAATAAGTCAAATAACCTTAAAATATTGGGCGGAAAATGTTAAAAGCGTGAAAAATATAAACTACTTGTCTCGTGAATGATCGAATTCCAGGTTTGTTGGATTTTTGGCGTCGAATCCTGTGCTAAATTATAAAGAATAACATTTTCATATGCCATCAATCATTTTAAGATACGGTATCGTAGATACGGTAAGAGATACGGTATGCGTAGAAAATAGTTGATTCGCATTGATGGTCTGATGAGATCCTGTATGTCCAGGTAAATATGTTATTTTGCCACACTTTTCAGCAAAAATTCATGCTTCATGTTAAGATAAGTTGCGAACAATAAGCCTGTTAATTTAATTTCGCAGATACAATTGAATGTTGAAGATTAAACACCTGAACAGGGGCGAAAACCTTATTTTATTTTCGTCTTCCGACAGGTTAATCTTACGACGCTATTCGTGTTATGAGGTAAATATCAAAGTTAAACGCAGAGTGAAAGTAACTAACAATACTGTTGAACGCAGCTATGATCAAATTTCAGTGACAGATTCTTGTTCTTTCTTCTTAAGTAGCGGACATAACATTTTTTGTTTTCGTGAATGCGCTCATTAAAACAATCGACGAGGTCACTGAAAACTTTGTGCTTCGCGCACCAAACGTAATGTTCCGAAGCTATCTCTCATCCAACAACATTAGTTCAACAGTTGAAAATTCTTAAATTGTGGTACGTTGTAGAAAATCGAGTACAAATCTTCAATCATTAATAACAAAACCCAAGAAAAGACAGATAGCCATGGGAGCTTTGCAGAGAGCACAGATGCCATGTTTCGAACGAACACAAGCATTTATATAATGAAGTGAAAAACCTGCGCTACTTCATCAAGCCATAGAAAAAAACTTCTTCAAAATTTGGCTGTACTGAATTTATTTTGATATTTTCTTTGCCAAGCTGGGGAAAACAGTCCGTTATTGATGTTGCTATGACCACTCGCTCTCAGTAATTGTGGAGCCTTTGATTGAAAGTGTCACTTGCTATTTGCTTGCGTACTTCAAGCATAATAAAAGAGGCCAGGCATTTTCCTGTATAGTCATTATTACTTCAACATATTGATTCAAGACTTGAGTGCGTCTTCAGTATATCTGCCAACAAATTAAATTAAACATAGTTTATTTTGTTGATCCCTTCCGTTGAACATCGCAGGTGAGCAACCAGCTGTATTCTACTTTTATTCAGGACATTTATAAATGACAATAACCATACAGATTTATTGGTCGTTTTGATCCGTGATTAGCCTAAAAAACAGATGGAAGAGCTTCCTTAGAATCATTACTATGTGTTGCAGCCGTAGTAGTCCCAGGCCACGCCGCAGCACCGCCGTTACCGGCGTCGGTATATAGCCTCCACAGCTCTGATTGCTTAAAGAACTTTTTATTTTGTATTACAACAATGTTTTTTAAATGAAATGTCTTTTTCGACCTGTTTTGAATAAAAAAAAATAATTTCTACATATATGTAAACAACTTTAAAATTTCTTGAAAAAACATGGAAAAATATGTATTTATTTTCATTGAAGTTCAACGTAAGGCTTCCTAAATGAGCCTCACTGGACCGGCGTCAATTTCCCCCCACTCGTAGGGCCATTGATCCCCCGTGGCGGCAACCATCCCCTTGGTGGGTGATGAGGGTGTGTGGGTCATGAGGGTGTGTGGGTCATGAGGGTGTGTGGGTCATGAGGGTGTGTGGGTCATGAGGGTGTGGGTCATGAGGGTGTGTGGGTCATGAGGGTGTGTGGGTCATGAGGGTGGGGAGTCGGTATGGTTGTGGAGGGCGGTGGGGGGGCGGGGCCCCCAAGATAAGGCATCGTGCGACATCACGCGACGCCACGTCACGTGTACGTCACGTGCAGCGCTATGGTTTTAAGGCTATCTTAACTTGTGTTAATATTGGGTAAATATATTAATTTTTTAAATAAATATATAACATTAATTTTTATTTTTATTATATAATATTGATGGTTTATTTTAATATGGTAATAATATAATAATACCTTATTATAACCGCTCGATTACCCCACAGGTGTGATTATGTCGTGCGTCCTGCAGGCGGCCACAGACGCGCGGGCCCGGGCCCTGGGCCCACTCAGCCCCACCTTCAACATTCACAACCAGCTGAGGGCGGGACTGTCCCTGGTGGGTCACTCAAAGTGTGTCACTATTCGGACAATACGACACGTTTATTTTTTTAATGCATGTTGACGGCCACTCCTCCCTCCCCTCTCCGCAGGTGCCGCCCTCCCCCCGATGCTCAACCCCCCTCTCACCCCCCCTCCCCTCCCCGCAGGTGCTGCCCCCCGACGCCCACGTGCGGGTCAACGGGCGCCTGCTGGTGTCCCTGACGCGGGTCAGCGACGGACGAAACGTCCTCTTGTCCCGCTTCTGGTCCCGCCAGGAGCTGATTGAGGTGGGTCCCGTGGGTCCCGTGGGTCCAGTAGGTCCTGTGGGTTTCGTGGGTCCCGTGGGTCCTGTGGGTCCTGGGGGTCCTGTGAGTCTTGTGGGTCCCGCGGGTCCTGTGGGTGCCGTGGGTCCTGTGGGTCCTGTAGGTCCCGTGGGTTACATGGGTCCCGTGTGTCCCGTGGCTCCTGTAGGTCCCGTGGGTCCCGTGGGTCCTGTGGGTCCTGTGGGTCCTGTAGGTCCCGTGGGCTATATGGGTCCCGTGTGTCCCGTGGGTCCTGTAGGTCCCGTGGGTCTGGGTCCTGTGGGTTCTGTGGGTCCTGTGGGTGCCGTGGGTCCTGTGGGTCCCGTAGGTCCTGTGGATCCTGTGGGTCTTGTGGGTCCCGTGAGTCCCGTGGATTGTGGGTCCCGCGGGTCCCATGGGTCCTGTGAGTCCAGTAAGTCCGATGGGCCCGATGGGTCCCGTGGGTCCTGTGGGTCCAGTGGGTCCCGTGGGTCCTGTAGGTCCCGTGGGTCCCGTCGGTCCCGTCGGTCCCGTGGGTCTCGTGGGTCCCGTGGGTTATGTCGGTCCCGTGGGTCCCGTGGCTCCCGTGTGTCCCGTCGGTCCCGCGGGTCTCGTGGGTCCCGTGGGTCCCGTCGATCCCGTGGATCCCGTGGGTCCCGTGGGCCCCGTGGGTCTTGTGGTTCCCGTGGGTCCCGTAGGTCCCTTGGGTCCCGTGGGTCCCGTCGGTCCCGTGGGTCCCTTGGGTCTCGTGGGTCCCGTGGGTCCCGTAGGTCCCTTGGGTCCCGTCGGTCCCGTCGGTCCCGTGGGTCTCGTGGGTCCCGTGGGTCCAGTGGGTCCCGTGGGTCCCGTCGGTCCCGTGGGTCCCTTGGGTCCCGTGGGTCCAGTGGGTCCCGTGGGTCCCTTGTGTCCCGTGGGTCCTGTGGGTCCCGTGGGTCCTGTGGGTCCCATGGGTCCCGTGGGTCCCTTGGGTCCCGTGGGTCCCTTGGGTCCAGTGGGTCCCGTGGGTCCCGTGTGTCCCGTGGGTCCTGTGGGTCCCGTGGGTCCTGTGGGTCCCATGGGTCCCGTGGGTCCCGTGGGTCCCGTGTAAGTACACACGGGACACATACAGTGTATTTTATGTATAGTGTGCCCAGTGAGATCCGTCTGTCACACTCGGCCCACACTCCTCCCCAACCCCTTCTTAACCCCCGCAACCCCACGCAACCCCAGGCGCTGCTGTGCTCCTCCTTCATCCCCTTCTTAACCCCCCCAACCCCACGCAACCCCAGGCGCTGCTGTGCTCCTCCTTCATCCCCTTCTTAACCCCCGCAACCCCACGCAACCCCAGGCGNGGTCCTGTGGGTCCTGTAGGTTCCGTGGGTCCCGTGACAGTACACACGGGACGCATACAGGATATTTTATGTATAGTGTGCCCAGTGGGATCCGTGGGATAGTGTGCCCAGGGGACTCGGCCCACACTTCTCCAACCACACGCAGCCACTCCTCCCCAACCTCTGCCCCCAACCCCTCCTTCATCCCCTTCTTGACCCCCGCAACCCCATCCAACCCCAGGCCCTGCTCTGCACCTCCTTCATCCCCTTCTTCTCGGGGTTGCGGCCGGGGAAGGTGCGCGGGGTTCGATACATCGACGGGGGATTCTCTGACAACACCCCCGTGACAAGCCCCGTGGCTGTCACGGTGTCCCCCTTCGCGGGGGAGGCGGACATTTGCCCCGCGGACAACTCGGCTAGCATGATGGCGGAGAGGCCAGCATGATGGCGGAGAGGCCAGCATGTTGGTGGTGAGGCCCACATGATGGCGATGAGGCCAACATGATGGCGGTAAGGCCAGCATGATGGCAGTGAGGCCAGCATGATGGCGGTGAGGCCAACATGATGGCGGTGAGGCCAACATGATGGCGATGAGGCCCACATGATGGCGATGAGGCCAACATGATGGCGGTTTCTGAATCCCAAGTCATGTGGACCAGACTCCTCAAAGTCCACTGCTTTCTCAAAGAATTAGCAGCCGTTCTGGCCGGCCCATTAACAGTATTCTTCAAAAAAACCTTGAACAAATGAACTTTGCTGTCCGATTGGAAAGAAGCTCAAGTGACACCATTGTTCAAACAATGTGACAAATGTAGCCCAGGTAACTATCGCCCTGTCAGTCTGACAAGTGTTGTTTATAAGCTGATGGAATCTGTTGTGAGGGATAGGATTAATTATCGATTACTTGACTGTTCACCATCTCCTATCAGACTGTCAACATGGCTTTATTGCCGGTAGATCCAGCACCACTAAACTATTGTCTACATTGAACGATTGGACTCGCCAGCTGAACGAAATGGAGCTAGTGGATGCAGTGTACTTCGATTTTGCCAAAGTATTTGACAGTGTTCCGCATGAGCGACTGTTGCGTAAAAGTGAAGCTTTGGGAATTGAGAGTAATGTACTCCAATGGATCAGAGATTTTCTAGCAGGTAAACGACAACGTGTCAGTATTAACGAAACCGTGTCAGACTGGGCATCGGTGCGCAGTGGCGTGCCACATGGAAGCGTTCTTGGTCCTATTTTTGTCGCTGCTTTTATAAGCGATCTGCCTGAAGTAGTGTCCAGCGTGTATTCAATGTATGCCGACGACAAAAAAGTTTATAATACAGTGAAGGATGCGTCAAATAAAGCGTAATTGCAAGTTAACTGGGCTGATACGTGGCAGCTGCGGTTTGATGATGACAGGTGTAAAGTACACCTCGGGAGGAACAATGAACAGCAAGATTACAGTATGAGAAGACATGGTTGCAACGAGAGAGTAATGATTGAAAAGTCTAGTGTGGAAAAAGATCTCGGAGTTTATGTCGACAAGGAGCTGAAATTTTCTAAGCATGTTGAAACGCAAGCTAATAAATCCAACAAACGTCTTGGACTGATCAGGCGCTCATGCGAGTTCCTAGATGCCGAAGCGATGAAGCAGTTGTTTGTTGCTGTCGTACGTGCGCCCGAATCTAGAGTTTGGAAACGCTGTGTGGTCACCGAGATTTGAAAAGGACAAAAATTTAATAGAGAATGTTCAAAGACGAGCAACAAGGATAATTCCAGGCTTGAAGGGCAAGTCCTATGAAGAAAGATTAAGAAGCTTCCAAGACTCAGTTATCGACGTCTGTGTGGGGACCTCATTGAAATATACAAGTATACTCATGGTTTATACGAAGTCCCAGAAGAATTACTAGAATTTGGAACAAGAACCAACACCAGGGGCCACGGCTATAAGCTAAAAAACTGCGCTGCAACTTGTCCACGCGACAACATTTCTTTTCGCTTCGAATCACCGACATGTGGAACAGCCTCCCCGATGACATCGTTGGCGCTCCAGATATGAACGCGTTCAAGAACAGACTAGATAAAGCTATGGAAAAATATATGTTCAGACTTGAAATGCTTAGCACCATATCGAACCCGGTGGAAGTCTAGTAGCTATTTCAAACTATTCGTCAGTCTTGAAAAGATCCGGTCAAAGGAAATGAATTTAGATCTGTGAACAAGTCACGAAAAGTACAAGAATCGGCGACAGGCCACATCAGGCTTACTCTTCAGCGCCGACATCACTATGTTACGTTACATAGTCCAAAACAAAGCTACATACACCGAACCTAAACTACGCAGTACAAAACAAAGCTACATACTCCGAACCTAAACTACGTAGTCCAAAACAAAGGTACATAGTCCTAAACAAAACTACATAATCCAAAACAAAGCTACATAGTCCAAAACAAAGCAACATAGTACAATACAAGATTACATAGTCCAAAACAAAGCTACATAGTCCAAAACAAAGCTACATAGTCCAAAACAAAGCTATATAGTCCAAATCAAAGCTACATAGTTCAGACCAAAGTTACATAGTCCAAACCTAAACTAAATAGTCCGAATCTGAGCAACATTGTCCGAACCAAAGCTACATAGTACCCAATTTCCGGTAGTTGATGGCAGTAGATTTAGTAGATCTATCATCATTTGTGGTACCTCGCTTGGTAGTTGCCACCGTCTGGACGGTGGTACCGAACTTCTCTCCGGTGGGGAGACCGAAGGAGACGGTGACGTTTGTGCCGCACCCTGGGACGTTCTCTTCGTCGTCTGCGACGAAATGGTTTCGACGTACTTCTCCTGGCTGGAGAAGCTGACTAAGAAGCCGGGGTAGTTGCAGCCACCGTCGTTAGTAGTCCACGTCCCGTCGAAGTTGTTATTCGTACTCGCCGTCAGGTTCGCAGCCACCGTCAACACTTTGAAATTTGCCGTTGAAAATAGGAATAAACGCGTTTATTTGAAGGAGTCACTTCATATCTTACCTTACGTGACTAGAAAAAATAGGGTTTCTTACATTGGTACCCAGTCTCCGAAATTAAGCTTAGGTTTTCGGTAGCAGCAATGAACCGCACACACGGTAACTGGACTGGACCAAAGGTGGGCAAGGTGACTTACTGCCACATATGACTGCGAATAAAATGCAAATTTCACCCTTAATGTGAGGTAGCGAAAGTCAAGATAGAACGCAACTACATAGAATCGAAGTGTCGGCGTTGAAGAAATAGGCCCATGGCCTTTTTCCGATTCTTGAACTTTTCGTGACTTGATTCACAAGGGATCCGGCATTTGGAACCCGATCTTTCCATAGCTGACGACTGATTGAGATAGCTGCTGGACTTATTGCCTGGTCAGTAATTTTCTAGGCATTTTAAGACTGAACATATGCTCCTGCATAGCTTCATCTAGTCTGTTTTTGAAGATGTTCATACTTAGAGCGTCAACGATGCTATCAGGGAGGCTGTTCCACATGTCGGTGACTCGAAGCGAGAAGAAATGTTGTCGCATGGATGTGTTTAAACGCTGTTTTTTTAGTTTATAGCCGTGGCCCCTGGTGTTGGTTCTCGTTTCAAATTCTAGTAATCTTTCTGGGACCTTGCATAAGTCATGAGTATACTTGTATACTTCAATGAGGTCCCCACGCAGACGTCGATCCCTGAGGCTTGGAAGCTTCTTAATCTTTAATCTTTCCTCATAGGACTTGCCTTTCAAGCCCGGAACTATTCTTGTTGCGCGTCTTTGAACACTCTCTACTAAATTTCTGTCCTTTTCAAATTCATCGTTTCTGCATCTAGGAACTTGAAAGAGCGTCAGATCAGTCCAAGTCGTTTATTGGCTTCATTAACTTGACCTTCAATATGCTTAGAAAATTTCAACTCATTGTCGATATTAACTCCATGGCCTCGGACGACAGAGAAATTGGGGCGAAGCAATATTTTCACGGCTGCGCAGTGACGATCAAGAGCACTGTCACTTTTGGTGACGTGTAGGAGCAAAAACTGCAAGATGCTGGTAAAAAGTAGTATGGATCTTGTGGACGTCAGAACAAGAGAAACGGTACTGTTGATCACGCTTTTCAAAGCCCATGTGATCCTTCTCTTTGAGTACTGCTGTCAGCTGTTGGACCCGTTCACGGTTTGCGCAGTGTGGCCATTAGAAGCGGTCAAGTGAATCTTCATGCGAAGGAACGAAATCTCCGGGATGCCAAATATCACAATGAAAGAAGACACTGTGTACAACTCTAAATCCGACAAAATTCTTGGTTTCTGAGCTCAGTTTGCAGAAGTAAACGATTTCCATAGCGGGACCAAGGTTGTTTTATGTCTAGACCGTGAAGGTAACAAGAGCGGGAGCCGTTCGCTCTGGAGGCCCTCAAGATACTAAACTTGTTACTAGGCACAATCAATGATCACACGGGGTTGGCCGTAGAAAAAGACAAAGTACCAGCGAGGCCTGCGACTGCAATGTTCAGAACCCCTACCACACAGGAACATAATTTCATCCCACTTACCGTAACTGGCCTGAATCAGAGGTTGGTTGGACTAATTCATCGCCCCCACCGAAATTGGGATCGACCGGAGGTGGGATGGACTAATCCATCGCACCCACCGAAATTGGGCTCGACTAGGGGTGGGATGGACAAATCTATCGCATCCACCGAAACTGGGCTCAACCAAAGATGGATTTCACTATTCCATCGCACCCACCGAAATTTGGCTTAACCTGAGGTGGGTTGGCCTGGTAGATGGCTATATGTAATTTGCCGCTGCTGTCTTCTGGTCGGCACGTGCGTAACTCAGCAAAGTTGCGTTGTAGGTGGAGCAAGTGGTACCATTGAAGAACGGGGTGGAGTGTCTTGCAAACGTTTGCGGCGGTTAGTAAAGATGTTGTTCCATAGAAGCATTGGTCAATTATTATTGTATTCCAGTAATACTTGGTAAATGGCAGTTTCTGCGGCTGCAACCAACGGCAGCAGCCAACTTACCGGCCACGGCAGCAGCGTTGGCGCAGTCCCCGATGTTGACCGCGCTCGCTGGGAGCTTATGAAGCATTTCAATATCGCCGTGTGAGTGTATGTGTGGTTATACACGATCCCCTTCTTGGACTTGATGGACTGGAACACAACCGAGATCTTGTTTTTTTTGCAAGATGCTATGGAACCTTTGGGGGTCACAAGCATCTGTAATCATTAAAATGTTGAATATGTAGCAGAATATTGATGTTGGTGACAGGACACAGTCGAGACAGTTGCTCACAAACAAATTTGTGATGGCACAGCAAAGCCAACATTTCATGAATGGGAAATATAGCTTAAATGTTCATAAAAACCTAACGCGAAAATAGGTTCACAAATTTCATTTCCATTAGACGCGTGTGGTGGTTGTTTCTACTCACATCAAGAGCAGGGCCTGTAGGCAGGTTCGCCTGTGGGTAGGAAAAGGGTTAATTCATCCAGCATTAGCTATCACAGATCAATAAGCAACTCACGATTTGTCTACTTGACATTTCATAAGCAGTTTAAGGCATATGTGTTAGTTTTGTACCCTAGCTGTATAACAACGTCTAATGTTAACCATATTGACCGTTGTCAAAATTCCGGCGAGAATCGGGGGAAGGAGTTTGGCCATCTTGACCTTCCCGAACTGGGGAGACACAAGACTATGATTATTATTTAAGATATTAGTAGGATTATAATCAATGATACCTGAAATTAGTAGTAGAATTGAAAAAGAGATTATCAGCACAGTTTCGGACGACCCTCATCAAGCAGCCATCATCTAGTGGCCATCATCGGACGCCCCTCATCGAGCAGCCATCATCTAGTGGCCATGATCGGACGACCATCATCGAGCAACCATCAACTAGTGGCCATCATTGGACGACCATCATCGAGCAACCATCATCTAGTGGCCATCATCGGACGATCATCATCGAGCAACCATCATCGAGCAACCATCATCTAGTGGCCATCATCGGACGACCCTCATCGAGCAGCCATCATCTAGTGGCCATCATCGGACGACCATCATCGAGCAGCCATCATCGGACGACCATCATCGAGCAACCATCATTTAGTGGCCATCATCGGACGACCATCATCGAGCAACCATCATCAAGCAACCATCATCTAGTGGCCATCATCGGACGACCCTCATCAAGCAGCCATCATCTAGTGGCCATCATCGGACGACCATCATCGAGCAACTATCATCTAGTGGCCATCATCGGACGACCCTCATCGAGCGGCCATCATCTAGTGGCTAGCATCAAGCAACCATTTTCAAAGGGTCATCATCTAACGGCCATCATCACCCCCCATCATCAAGCAACCATTTTCAAAAGGACATCATCGAGCAGCCTTCATCACTCCCCATCATCGAGCAATCACCACCAAAGCTGCCCGATACCCAGTCAAACATATTAACTATTGCGCATATGAACATTTCACAATCCTCAGGGCCACTCCACCAGCACTCAAGTTAGGCGGCCATTAGATCACGACACTAATGGACGCACTAATGGAAGTGATGTAGTTAGTCGGGGCACCAATGTACGTATCGTACATTACTGTATCTTTCTTGTACGTGCTCTAAAATTACAGTGGTTTTCTTATATACGCATCGCAGGTCGGCATTTTAGCAGGTATCAGCACGGAACTACATATCATTCAGAAAGAAGAATGGGTAAAATTGTCCGAATAGTGAGACATTTTCTTACCCATAGCCCGAACAGGCAGTGGACATAGCACGGATATTAATATTGGATTAATGATTCAATGAATTAATGGACAATGGATTAATGACACTTTAGATTAATTTTCATCGCCTGTCATAAAGTTTAATCACATATCATAAAGTTCCATTACTTATTAAAATGATTTGTCGCTTATAATAACGTTTCGTCACTTATGATGAAGTTGCATCACTTTTGATTAAGTTTCGTCGCTTAGCATAAAATTTATTGACATATCATAGAGTTTCACCAAAGCTGCCCGATACCCAGTCAAACATATTAACTATTGCGCATATGAACATTTCACAATCCTCAGGGCCACTCCACCAGCACTCAAGTTAGGCGGCCATTAGATCACGACACTAATGGACGCACTAATGGAAGTGATGTAGTTAGTCGGGGCACTAATGTACTTATCGTACATTACTGTATCTTTCTTGTACGTGCTCTAAAATTACGGTGGTTTTCTTATATACGCATCGCAGGTCGGCATTTTAGCAGGTATCAGCACGGAACTACATATCATTCAGAAAGAAGAATGGGTAAAATTGTCCGAATAGCGAGACGTTTTCTTACCCATGGCCCGAACAGGCAGCGGACATAGCACTGATATGAATATTGGATTAATGATTCAATAAATTAATGGACAATGGATTAATGACACTTTAGATTAATATTCATCGCCTATCAAAGAGTTTAATCACATGTAATAAAGTTCCATTACTTATTAAAAAGATTATAACGCTCGTCACTTATGATGAAGTGTCATCACTTTTGATTAAGTTTCGTCGCTTATCATAAAATTTATTGACATATCATAGAGTTTCGTTACTTATGCTAAGATTTCGTCCTTAACGATAAAGTTTCGTCTCTTGTGATAAAGTTTCGTCCCTTACAATAAAGTTTCGTCCCTTACGATAAAGTTTCGTCAATTATGATAAAGTTTCGTCCTTAACGACATAGTTTCGTCACTAATGGTGAAGTTTCGCCACTTCTGACAAAGTTTCATCGCTTATGATAAAGTTTCGCTGCTTATGAGAACGTTTCGTCAATTATGATAAAGTTTCGTCCTTATCGATATAGTTTCGTCACTAATGATGAAGT